GTCTTTCACTGACTGGCTTATTTCACTTAGCAGAATAGTCTCCAGTTCTATTCACACTGTTAACATTTCAATGTTATGGAATTTGAGCATATTTGGAATGTCCTTGTATTGAAAAAAAGGCTTTTTAGAGCAACATATGTCAAGCATTTAAATATATTTAAAATTGGTTTATAGATTAACTTGTTTCTGATTTTTTGAAATATATTTTATTGATTATGCCATTACAGTTGTTCTATTTCCCCCTTCATATGTTTCTGATTTTAAAGTAAGACCTCATTAAGTACATATATTGAAACATTTAAGAGAACTCAAGAATCAAATTATTTAAAGGCTTAATTTAATACTGTTATTAAAAAAGTTTTAGATACGAGTGAAATTTGTTTAAGTCATACAATCAAAGGATGTAAGGAGGAAATTGAATATTTTATATTTATAAATATAGTTTAAAATATTAAATGGGACCTATCAAACATTATTCAAAAACTGCTAAATTTATTAGACTTTAAATTAGAATAGGTTTATATGTTCAACTCATAACTTTAAAGAAGAATCTTGACAAACTGAATTTCAAATTTTAATATCAAAATAGATCATTGGATGATCTCTTTTGCACTGAAAATCTGATCGAAGGGTATAAAAATCTTACATTTAAGAAGACCTTCCTGTTTTCATTCTGAAATTCGTCCCACATTCCTATTGTCTCTTAATTCTTACATTTTTAGCTTATAATTATCCTGTCATGGATTTTTCAAGAACATACTAAAAATTGCAGAAAGCTACGTATGTATACATGTGTGTTTCTTTTTATTAGACTTTGAGCTTCAGGAAAGCAGAGATTTCTCCTTCTTTTTTTTTTCTTTTGTCTTCTATGGACTTGGTAGCTAGCTTGGCACAAAACACATTTCCAGTAGGTACTCAGTGGGGTTGTGGTAATATCCGTTGAATGAACTCACTTGCTTTTCCTAAGTAGAGCCTTTCCCCAGCCCTTTTACACAAAGACCCTTGGCTCTTGTGAGCACTTCTTAGGAGGTTCTTGGGTATCTGACCCCCGCCTCTTATGTTTGGAAGGAGCTACTCTGCTCAGGTTGTTGGGGGGCCTTTACCTACAGGGACCAAAAAATCAGATAATTGTTCTCCATGGTCACTGGCAGCCAGACTGTGTCTTGCAGTCTGAGTTAAACCAGAAATTCACGAAGAGATTGGGAAACATACTATGTTTGCAAAAGGCAGTCTTCGAACAGATGTTTGCTTATGTATTACACATATTACACCATATAATTTCACTTTGTTTATTAATTCATTCATTAATTAACTAATTTTTAAAAGATTTTATTTATTTATCTTTAGAGGGAAAGGGAAGGAGAGAAGGAGAGAAATATCAATGTGTGATTGCCTCTCATGTGTCCCCCACTGGGAACTGGCCTGCAACCCAGGCATGTGCCCTGACTGGGAATCGAACCGCGACCACGTGGTTCCCAGGCCCACGCTCAATCCACTGAGCTACGCCAGCCAGGGCTAATTTAACTAATCTTTATTTTGTGCCTATCATATACTCAGTACCATGACTGGACTCCCGGCAGCAAAAGGACACAGTCCCTTCCCTCATTTCTAGTTGTGAAATTCATATCTAGTCTTAAAAGATAAAATAGTTGCAAGTTTTGATGTGTGTTCTACAGAAAACAAGTATAAGTTTAGCTGAGATACAAATAGTGGTAGTCAGTGGCCGTGGGGTAGCACTGGGATGTTTAGGGCTTTTTAAAATAGGGGCCATAAATAGGTCCAAGATAATATTTCAAGCTAAGACTAAAATATGAGGAAGAGCTAGTCGGGCAGAGAAGAAGGAAGATGATTCATAGCAGAGCAAACAGCATGATCAGGGGACCTGAAGCTGGGCAGCGTTTGTCATGTTCAAATACCTGAAGGAAGATCATGTGACCAGAGCACAAGTGTGTCCCCGGGAAGGTGAGTGGGAAGGAGTTGATTATGGAGAAACAGCGAGGATGAAACCCATGGAGGCTCGTAGAATGAGTGTCATCCACTAGTAAACTTTAAATAATTTTTTGTTGATCCTTCTTGATGTGTTACTCCTTCCCTTGATCTTTTAAAGTCTAGAATATGATGGCAAAATTTTATTTGTCTTTAATCTTCACATAACATTCTGCTCTTGCCAGCACTTTGCTATTATATAGTAATTATAATTATTCATTTTTTCTAGTTCAAAATAGCTGATTTAATTTTAATTTGTACTATTAATTCCGTTACCATCTCTAAGGCTTTTAAGTGCTTGCTTCTAAAATAACTCCTCTAGTACACTTTTCACCCATTGGTATTTTTGACTATACATTCTTATATTTTTCTCCTGTTCCATTACTTCTCTAAGACATATATTTTTTGCTTATTCTTACAAACAAGCCATTGTTTTCACCAATTAGCTCTCATGCCAACTGTAGCTTACCATGACATTACAGATAAGAAATTTTCAAGAGTAGTTTAGAATTAAAAAAAAAAATCATTGCTATATTTTGCCTCTGAATTTCCTCATGCTGTCTTTTCTTGTTATTCAAAGAAGTATAGAATTGAGTGGATTTCGGAGATTCTTTAGTTTCCACTTTCATTTTATCATTAAGTTCTTTACAGTTTATCACTCATTATGCAACGTTTAACAATGTAATGGTTCCATTTAAAATTTTTTTCTTCATTTAAAATGGCCTATCTTTTCACAATACTTTACAGAGTTTATAGCTTGGTATTATAAATGTCCTTGTAGGCTTTCTTAGCAAAACTTGAAAGTAAGTTATTAAAAAAGCATACACATACAGAAATGAGTATTAATCATCTCTAACTCCAAAAAGTAATAAAAAACAGGTATTTGCATTGTTTAATTAAAATAGGTCTTCTTTTTATACTCTGCCATGCTTTGCAAAGCTGTCCAGGAGACAGATAAAAGGAAACCAGTTCTGCGTCCCCAGTTACCTGCTGGGATCCTCCAGTCACTCTGCTCTTAGTTCAAGGCTGAGCGGAAATCTGCACATAATCCTCCTTCATCCTTCCCTTCACTCACCAAGGCTGTCCTTTCTTGTTTAAGTAGTTGAATGACCCAATAATGTTTTCCAGTTTGAACATGTTTAAACATAGCCTTTGCCCCTGGCTGTCTAACCTGTTACTGAGGATAAATGCCTGAGCTGAAGTTCAGAGAAATGACATATATGCTGATCTGCATGTTACCTTGGAGCTAGTTTGCTGGCAGCTGCACTCCCTCCTGGCACGTGAAAACGGTCTAGTTATCCCAGAGAAGCAGGCCTTCATTTCAGCAAGGGAGTGCGTGAGTGAGGCTTTGGAATCCCTCCATAAACCAGTTTTTCTTACTCTGTTGCAAGCTCTCAATATATCTGCCCCAAGCAATATTACTAGCTACTTACAAGAGCAAAATCTTATTGTTATGATGCTACAGAGATTCTATGATGAAAATAATGAATTTTTTAAAGGTATCTTGGGAAAAATAATATTTCATTCATGAGAAAACTCTTCATAGGAAGAAAATACTCCTGTATTTAAAAAATTTTTTTAATGTATTGATTTTAGAGAGAGAAACATGGAGGGCACAGTCCTCTTATATATGCATTCATTGGTTGAAAAACTCTTATTTGTAAGAGTCTGTCAATCACACTATGTACTGGATGGGGAAAGACCATCGTTGATGCTTTCTGCAGCTGTTTTTCCTGATGACAAGAATACAATGCCAGATGTCTTGTATTTCCTTTTATCTTATGCACTGCTGCTTTCATACGTGAAATTTCTATGGACTTGAATGAGTCCATAGAAATCCAGAATAAATGTGTGTAAGGAGAAAATAAAGATTGTCACCAGTCTGCAAAACAAGTGTATAGTATATACCCATACATTGCAGCCCTACCTTTTGCCTTCAATATACAGCTTCAGTACACACAAAAGAGGGAAGTTCATGTTGATTAATATCAATAAATTGTAAATTAACCGTTGTTTTAAAAAATATGTCTACAGGGTAGTACATAGAATGACACCAGTGGCTCTGAAATGAAAAGTCCAGTTGTCTCTCTTCCTCTCTCCCTATTTCTCCAAGTTCTCCCAGGGCTGTGCCCAGGAGTGAAGAATGGCAAGCAGTGCGACTGTTGGTTGTTTTGCTGGTTACTATCAAGGCTGGATTAACTGTGCAGCTTCAGGGGCCTCCAGGTCATGTCTGCCCCAAGGCAGTGGCCCAGGAATGGATCCAGGTTATGTGAGGCTTAAAATGTATACATCTTGGGGGAAGAAAAACTTTAAGAAAAAGAATGCAAATTTACAAATACAAAACTGCTAGGGTTCTTCCCAGTGCTTGTCAGGAGCCCCTTGTCAGTGAATGTTTCCAAAGGCTAAAGTTTGCTATTTCAGGGTTAATCTGCCTTTGTTTGCCATTTTTAGACTTAACAACAGCATTAGACAGCATCTATTGATTGCCAACTCAGGAACATGAGACATTTCGGGCACCTACCAACCTACCAATTTCTCTTTCACCCATCTACCTTCTAGTTTTTAGAGTCGTGTTAATGTTATTATATTGATAGTTAAAGTTTATGACAGTCACTATGTTTCCTATCCTTTGTAGATTCATTCCCAGAACCAGTAAGCAGCAATACAATATTGCTATATAAATGATATTTTCTGTTGAATCAAGAAATGTGGTCAGATGCATAAAGAAATAAAAGCAATCTTGTGTCATTTAATTTTTCTACTCTAAGGGGGATCTTCTGGCATCTTGGATTTATGATATTCTTAATTTTTCTCTATTTTTTAAAAGTTCTTCTGGATGAGATTTAGCTGATCCTATTTCTTGTATTCTTATTTTATTTTTTGTATTCCTTTACATGCTTCCTGTATTAACTCCTCAAATAATTTTATGTAGTTTTGTAGAGTTCGTGATATTCTTCAAAATAAATGACTTGACAGAGAATTGCTAGTATCAGAAAATGTTTTATTCATTCATTCATTTACTTTAATATAGAACAAATTTGCATGTCATCCTTGCGCAGGGGCCAAGCTAACCTTCTCTGTATCGTTCTAGTTTTAGTGTATGTGCTGCCGAAGTGAGCACCAAAAACGTTCTTCATGAACAAATTTCAAAGATAAGTTTTGTTTAGTTATCCCTTCTCTATGTTACCATAATGATATGTATTTTAAGGAGAGTTTCACAGAAAATTATAGGAATGAAGAGAAGCAGGGTGGATAGGCATGGAGAGGTAACTTTTAATTCATCTCCAGGTGAATGAGACCATTCTGAGACAGAGTTACCTTTTGTAATCACTAAAAGGCATGCATTTATATGCATAAAAGCATACAGGAAATAGTAGATGTTAATTACACTCTTCAACCAGAAGAGTTACTATTTTCTAAAAATACAAACACTTTTTCTAAAGGGTTTTTCTTTCTTTTTGTTTTCTCAATTTTTGGTAAGAACAACCATCCCTTCTGAGCAAACAAATGCTCTAAATTTGTACCTCAGAATGACTTCACCAGTAAAATAAGCACTTTAATGATTCGATATACAAAATAATTATACTTTCTTATTGAGATTTTTGTGAAATAAAGTGTGCTCTGCAAGCTGAAGAAAATAGATCATTCTACAATGAAAAAATATTCAAAGTACAGCAGCATTTCCGTCCTTGTGGGTGCACTGCAGGACCCCCATGGGCCGGAGACTGCTGAGAGCACCGAGCCCTGACCAACTCCTTCAACTCTGCCAGAAATGCAGTGGCAGCTGATTGACCAGCAGACACAGACTCTCCAGTAGTTGTTGTATTTTTTAGTCAAAACCTATTCCTGAACTGTGTAACCACCCTCTAGTTGCAGTAGATGGCTTGCTGTCACTCATTTCAGGGAGCTCCTTGGCCAAGCCTTCAATGCTTCCTGCCGCAACATGGTGCCATCGAGTGGAACACATTTTCTGTTCATGTCTTCCATTCATAAATGCAATGTTTTCTCCATGTTAACTAAGCACTTACCATGCACTGTAGCCTAACTTTCATAGTTTGAGGTGTGACAGCAAAACTAGCACAAATTCCATTCCCTTCTTCATAATTTCATGGATAGAAGATCAGTCCTTACCTTTTATCCCAGCTGATTTTTTTTCTTTCCTTACTAGTTCAAGAACTTTCACCTTTTCACTTGAAGGAAGCATTTGCAGCTTCTCATTGGCATATCTGAATCACCGGCATCTCCACTCTTGCAGGTTGGGGCCATTATTAAGTAAAATAAAGGTTACTTGAACGCAAGCACTGTGATACTGAAACATCCGTTCTGGCCCGCAAGATGACTGACGTGTGACTGATGAGCAGGGAGTGTCTGCAGGGTGGAGATGCTGGACTCACTGAGGGATGATGATTCACACCCTGGAGGGACATCGAGAGGTTTCATCGTGCTATTCAGAATAGTACACAATTTAAAACTTAAGTATTGTTTATTTCTAGAATTCTCAATTTAATATTTTCAGACAGTGGTTAACTGCAGATGACTGAAACTGTGGAAAACAAAAACAATAAAGGGGAAACTACTGTAATACATGTACATCGTCTGATAAGAGATTATATATCGGTCCTGACAATTTCCTTAATATTGTCAACAATCATTAATGATGATGACAGATAAGAATATCACTCAGCAAGGTTTCATATATTTGTGCAAAAATAACATATTCATGACTTATTCATTATTCTGTGGGAATCCAATGATCCCAGCTCTTTTCCCTGTGGAGTCAAAATTGGGTCTGCATAAACACAGGCCGACATGATCAGTGTGATTGTTTTTTATGTACTTATTGTTAGTGTGAAAGCTGTCCAGTGCAAAAGTGCGTGTTTACAATAGTCATGAGTGGGTTGAGGCAGGATATAAGGAGAAGGCTTTGGCAATCCCTGATCTTCATTTTTTACACCTCGTTTACCCAGAAGCCCACCCCTTACCACTGCAATCCATCTTAGTACATTTTTAAAGTCTATCCATCAATGTAGTACTTAGCCTCGTGCTAGGTCACATGAGAAAACCCCATAGAATAATAATAGAAATGCCCAAGTAGTTTACATTCAAATAGGGAGGCAACATTGCTTAGAGGGAATTAGAGGAGACTGGTGCGGAATTGTGTGGTGTGGACTCTCAGTGCAATAGGTATTTATAGAAAGAAAAGGTCACTCTCAGTTGCGTTATGCATAATTTAGGGTTCTTTGATTGCTAGCAATAGAAACTGACTCTGCTTAATGTGAGAAATAAAAGCTTATTGGAAAGAGACCATGGTATCCTTGCAAAATCTCCAGGAAGACTAAAGAGCTGCCCGCCAAAAGGCTGAGCTGCCTGAACTGCTTGATTGTGTTGTAAGAATTCTGCCCCCAGAATGGGTATGCTCCATCTGTTTTCCATGTTGTGTCCCTTCACTCACAGGCCAAAATTTCTGGAGGGAAAACTTGACTATTTGAACAAGTCAACTGACAGCTCTATGGCTACGGTAGACTGGGGCACCTTGATCTACAGCCCACAAAAAACAATACAGGGACCTCAGACGCGATAGACAGTGGTGGAGTGATACAAAACAGCCAGTTGTTTGAAAGCAACGGTTTATGAATCACCTCTCTGTTCTTTATTACACTTCTGTTCTTAATTTGGAATCACAAAATGACAATCCAAAGAACCCAAATCAACATACATTTCCCAAAATATTTAAAACTTTACATTGAGTGATTTATTTTACTCTTTCAGATGATAGTTTGAGAGCAACATGACTAAAATGGAAAAGGGACTGTGGCTTGGATAAGTTGTTTCCTAAACCCCCAGTTTCCCACCTTGTAGAATTACTGTGCAGATTAAGGCCAATTCATGCTGGAGTCTATCACTCCAGATGCACAAAATATGTGGAGGCATTTTTATTATTATCAGATGAGCAAATCCATCTAAAATAGGCACAACTAATGAGATAGATAACATTCCACTCAAGTAACTTTTCTTAGGCTTCTGTCTGTACTTGCTAAAAATTATTAATTTAATACATCTCCTTTAAATCTGTATTGTATAAGAAAAGGTATACATTATATAAATAGAAAGAAAAATATATAGGAATTATTTTTTAATGATTTATTGGAAGAAAATTTAATTTAATACAGCCTTTTTCTGAGACATGTTCATCTGTTTTTGTTTGGTTTTGTCTTTAAAAAAAATTTACTGTACTTTTTCCATTACCATTTAGTCGCCTTATAGCCCCACTCCTTCTTTGTGTTTGAGGATTATTGATGGTTTGTGGTCAAGTCTACAAAAGTAAAACATGACACCAACTGTTGCATGTTATACTCATTAGGCTATGACCTTCTTCATTGTTCTGTTACCACATCAAATGCTACATTCTACGTACCTCATTGGTGGTAACCTGTACACTGTTATGTTTGAATACTGAAAGTCTTGAAGTCTAATAATAGGCAAAAAAAGATATTGTGTGGTAGTAATTACTACTGATTTTTACATTGAGGAGTTAGAGTTCCTGGTACCAAATGAAGGCAGGGTGACATGTATTTGGGACCTACAAGAAGCTTAGAAGTGGCTCACTGGTGTCTCTTGGTGCTACCAGGACCAGTGAAAATTGTGGAGGGAAAATTGTCGCAACCACAGCCTGTCCAGCACAAAAAAATCAAGGGTACAGACCTCTTGGGGATGAAGGTCTGTGTCACCCCAGCAGGCAAGCAAACACACCAGTGAAGGCACAGGTCTAGGGTGAGAGAAGCCTAAGTCAGGACTGGGGAATAAATAATGCCTGTGATGGCCTTGGAACCAGGTACTGAGTGGTAGGCACAGAGAAGGATCTGTATTAGAACAACTCCTGTGCCTCCTCTAATTCTCTTACTATGCTGTTAGCTGTGGAGACTGGTTCCCATGAAGACTTCAGCCAGACCTATTCAAGTGCAACCTGATAGCACATTGCCTCTGGCCAGTGCTGGGTACCTCTCACTTCCTGCTAGAGGGCTTCTATTGCGCCTAGTCTTTGGATGTCACAGGACTCCCAGAATTCCTTCCTTCTTTCCTTGCTCCCTCCCTCCCTCCCTTTCTTTCTTCCATTTATTTACTAAAGAAGTTGGGTTATTTGTTATATAGAATTTTCCACAATTCTGGAGCTGACTGATTGTTTCCTCAAGATTCATTTTAAATGTCTACCTTAAAATATAAGTATACATCCTCTAAAACATTCGCTCTGCAAATTGTGCATTGCTGATTACTCTGGGAATGATTTCTATCTGTTTCCTTGGTGCTGACTTTCTGATTTCTGATTTGAGTACTTTGCATTTTCTAATGTGTTGAGGCAAAGGCAAACTCATTTCCTGTTTACTTGGAGGAAAGACTGACTTTATTATATCTAGCTGAAAGTGTACTTCCACATAGAGTGGTATTTGGTTATTTTTGTCATGCCTCATATATAATTTGAGGTGTCATATGAATGTTCACACAAATCAAGAATTAAAAAATAATGTATAAAGGAATTAAGGGCAAAAAAACCCCTAAGGTAGGAACAATAAATGCAAAACTTCAGGTGTCACTCTGAATGGAATGATGGGCACCAAGATGCTTTGTGTAGGGGTTTATGGAGGCAGGTTTAGGTGTAGGAAGGGATATGTAGAGGCAGGTTTAGGTGAACAAATGAGGAGTATCTGAGGCCTGAGTTTATGTTTGGGGATGTGGGTGAGATAATATCAAAGATTATTTCATGGGGATAGTGATACTCCAGGTTATTTTTAATGGATGAGGGAAAAGTAAGAAGAGTATTCTAAGGAAATGAAAACTGCATTATATACTGGGGGAAATCTACTAAGTTTTACTTGGCTGGAATGCAGAGTGATTATTGGGCACAAAAAGAGTGGAGGTTATAAAAGTGGAAAGCAGGTGGTATTGGGGTCTGTAGGCACATTTAAACGTTATTCTGTTATGTAGAAGCATCAGTGGATTTTTAGGTAAAGGAGTGAGGTGACATTTTGAACTAGGACAATGAATCTGGTGCAGTGTGGAGAACACAAATTGAGTGACACAGGCTATTGCAGTGAACCTGTTCTGAATGTGAAGCACAGAGTGGTG